TGAACAAGCAAGACCAAACCTGGGTGTTCACCTGCTTGAGCCCTTTGGCCCCTCCACTAAAATCCCCTTTTGTTGCCTCCGGGAGCACCACATGCAACTGGTCTCAAGGTGGGTCGAACAAGGGACCTCACATTTCCGGGGCGAGGGTTTCTCAAGAGTTTTACCAGTTCGGCTATGTAACCTTTGGTTTAGTAATACCTAACTATAACTATCAACTTACGTGAGTATTAAAAAAATTAGAAAAGACAAATGATCGTATTTATCAAAACAAAATATGAAATATCAAACATTTGGAGTAAGTTTAATACAAAACTTTCTTTTTAAGTTAAAATGATTTCTATTTTAGTAACTTCTTTGTTAAGTTTAATTGCGACTTAAATTGGCAGAAACAAACACACATATATTGTGGTTATCAATAATTGGGGAAACACATGCCCTACCCTGATTTCATATCATTAGGTTATGTGCCTTCTCTTAATTAGTTGGAATATCAATTCAAGATCATAGAAAATAGGTATAGCAAGTCCTAAGCCTCTTAACATAACCTTTAAATAAAACCATGACTCTTTCCCGAATTCAGAAGTGGAGAGATAGTGGAGATGGAGCTGTTGGAGAATCAGAAAAAATTGGAGTGCCTCCGCCTGAAAAGGTTGGAGTTTATGAAAGAAATGGAGAATAAAAGGGGATAGGAGACAACAATGGACAATGTGTTCTATGGAACTATTGGAGAAATTTTGGAAAAGGCCTCTCTATATCGTACTAGACTATTTTGCTGCGCTTCACCTCCTTGCTTTAGATCCTAATGATGAGATTGTCAGGAATTACATAGAGGTGCTGAAGAAGTGGGAAGCAGTCAACATGGAGCTGTTCGAGAATCAGAAACAGTTAGAGTGCCTCCACCTGAAGTGGTTGGATTTTATTCAAGAGATGGAGAAGAAAAAGGCTGGTCAGCCGAGGGAATAGGAGCCAGCAGTGGACAGTGTGTTCTGTGGAACTATGTGGAGAAAGTGTGGAATAGGCCTCTGGTCTCACTGGTTTTAGCAGTAGGGTCTTATGTCAGATTATCTGGGTTTCAGTTGGTTTTATTGTAGTTGTGGGTTTAAAGCTGTCTTTGCTTAGGCCCTGTTTACTTTCATTTCTGTTTCCTGTTTTTGAGAAAACAGATGTTGAAAACAGGTGAAAACGACATTTTTTCGTTTTCGAAAACAGTAGGAATTTGCCACTTTCTGTTTTCAGAGTTGGAAACGAATAGAAAACAGAATGAAAAGTAAACATGTTTTCTCGTTTCGTTTCCCAAATTTGTAACATGAAAACAGAAACAGGAAACGAAAATGGAAGTGAACAGGGCCTTAGTGTTTTAACTGATGAGCCAGGCTTTTGGGGTTTAAAATGGGGTTAGCTATTTTGAATTGTTGTGTGGATTTTGAAGATGACTGTACTTCAATTTTCACACCTTTCTAAGAACCAATTGGATTGACATGTGTAGATTGACCAGAAACTCATGTTTTGATCAGCGGCGGATCCAGAACATAATAGCGCACTGGGCCGCATTTCATTAGAAATTAGATATCGTAAAAAGGATAATGATTTTATATTTTTTTACAATGTCAATTGTTCACGATGGTGTTTTAATTTAGCGAATGCATCAATAATGGAGACATGGAGTCTACATCCATACCAATAGTATGCTCTGTTTCAAATAAAATACTTGAGCAACCGGCGAGTAATTCATCGCTCATTTTGTTGCGCTAATCAGTTTTCACATGTTTCATTCTTGATAAGGTTCTCGCCGTAGTAGCTGTGGAAACGGACAGCGTCAACACTAAAATCAATCGACCAATCAATTTCCATTATGTGTCCATCCCTATATCTAACAGCTGCTCTAGTAAATTTTTAAATGGAATAAATCTCATATTTCTTTTATTAGTCTTTTACGCTTTAGACTTTTAGAATTTTAGGTTCCGTTGTTTTTGTTTAGACGAAAATCTTTGGGGCTAGAATTTATAAGCTAAATTTAGAGTAGTTATTTGAATATGTTCATACGAATTATTTTTCTAGTTACACACAATCTTATAATAAAATAACATTGAACCAAATGTCTAAAATCGAAAATTCATAAGGATTATACTAACTTTGAATCCAGAAGAGGGCTGGGTCGGGGCCTGTGTTGGCCACCCCTTGATCCGCCAATGGTTTTGATAACTATTTCGGATGTTCTCTCTCAGAAAGCCATGTTGATTTTGTGTACCCGGATGCATGTGGGTGGCTCTTAGATTTCTCTTTATTTACAATCTAAATTTCAATCAACCCATTTCATTTATGTTTCGATCATGCTAGCTACAGAGTCATAATTTCTCTCATTACTCTAATCAAACTCTCACTATGTGTAACATCATGTGAATTAGTAAGAATGTATAAATTATATTGGTGAATTAGTAAGAATGTGTCATAGTAGGAGCTTGATAATAAAGAGATAACGAACAAGGACACACAAAGTTTCTTTTAAATGTGGTATCGTCAGTATGAACTACACACTACACCAAGAACAACTTCAAGAGACAAATTACATTTCACGGTTCATGTTAAGCGATGAATTTGTTGAGGATTAATATGAAAAGCTGAAAAATAGGGGTACTGGAGGATAATAGTCTGGGCCAAAGATGGCAGAAGCTCAGGCATCGTTTGGAAGTTGCAATGGTTGAATAGATGTATTGTTATGAATAGATGTATTGATAAATTTGATGCATTGTCAAATATAACTTTTAGTATATTTGATTGTATATGCCACGATCAGCTAAAAATTGAGATAAAACAATCTTAATTTCAACAATTTCAACAATCTCAACTAAAATTTGTGTAATATTATCGTTTTAAGTGATAGTTTATATCATATCCAAGGTTCAAAAAGGCGCTAGGCGTAAGGCGGGCGTTGAGACTTTGCCTAGCGCCTAGCTCGCATAGGCGTAGACTAAGCCTGCCTAGGCGTTGGAAGAAAAATAGCTATTCGCACTACATGATGAATGAAATAATAATCTACAACACTTTCTCACTTCAATTAAAATGGTTAGTAACTAGTAGCCCTACTAGTGAGTGGTGGTACGCTATCAGTGGTAGTGGTAGCGTACCACTCCATCTGATACGCTACCAGATGAAAATCACTACCACTAGAAAAAAATCAAAATCTGAAATCCGAAAAAATCACAGATATGAAAAAAGAACAAAGGATGAGGAAAGGGGAGGTGATGACGTTGCGACGGGGTCCTCGCGTCGGCAACCACGTGGCGATGGTGGTGGGAAGCGGAGGAAGGGGGAGACAGAGGGACCGACAAGGGGCGAGAGGGCTGATGAGGGGGCGGTGGCGTGAGGGGGCAGCGGCGGAGGAGACGAGGAAAGGGCAGGGTGCAGCGGCGACGGAATGACCTTGCCGATAGGAGGAGGGGATAGTGGTGGCGGTAGAACGATGAAAGGAGGAGGGGAATGGCTGCTCTGTTAAAGTTAGAGGGAGGTAGGAAGTTGATGAGTCTGTTAGGATTAGAGGAATATGCAGAGTTATTAGAGGAGAGAGATCTAGTGTGATTATTTTTTTCGTCCAAAATACCGCTTGATTAATCCCCAATCCATTCAAAAAAGGAGAGATAATAAATTTAATGGCTGGGAAGTGGGTAGCGAATCTCACAACCCCTTTGTGATGGTATCTTACACCAAACTTGGAGAGAAGGTGAATGAATGGTGCCAAAGGTAGAAGCTTTGTAAAGCGGTCTTCTAATCACATGTAAACTTCATCACTTTCGAAACATTCTAATATGAAATTAATATATATATATATATATATATATGGTGGCTTCTACGGTACCTCGGGTGAAATCCAAGGTACCGTATACCTTGAGTATGAAAACACTATCTAGACCTCGAAATAGACAAAAATTTGGGCTTGGTACTATACCCTAATCCTTATTGAGTGAACCCTAGGTCCTAATTATCTAAATCATAAAACTATAAACCCTAAGACGGAGCATTCATTTTTTTGCCTATATTTGGACGAATCATAGCCGTCGATTATTGTTTCTAATTAAATTTATCTTTGAGTATAAGATTTAGGGAACTAAGACCTAGATTTTGATCTTTAAGGGTTAGAGTATAATATCATGTCCAAAAGATCAATCAATTCAAGGTCTGGATAGCGTTTTCATACTCAAGGTATGCGGTACACCGGATTTTACTCGGGGTACCGTAGAACTCGCCATATATATATAGTGGCGTATTCGGTGCACCCATTTTTTTGGGTGCATTCAATGCACTCGCCTCATAATCGTCAATTCTAAAAGGCGATTCATGTGAAAACGATATCAATCATCACTTGTGATTTGATAAATAAGAAACACATGAATTTGTACAAAAATCATTCAAGATTTTCAGTTTGTGGGAAGCCATAGATCTCAATCTCTTGCCAAATAGACATCCATGGCGATTCTGGACTCTGGTCAGTATGGTGTGCTTTTTTTTTTGTTCTCGTCAAATTCTTAATTGTCCACTCTTCTTTTTTTTTCATTTACTCGTAGTTTTCCAGCAACAGATGTATTTTACACGTTTATTAGATCATGAAAATATTTTGTGGCTGTTTATGAAAGCCGCAATCACAATCACGTTGTTTATGAAAGCCACTCTCTCTTCCTCCCTTGTGTTTTATATGATGTAATAATAGCATAAAAAAAAAAACACTCTCACTAAGTGTAACATCATGTGAATTAGTAAGAATTCATCATATGTGGTATAGGAACTTGATAATGAAGAGGATAAAAGATAACGAACAAAGACACAAAGTTTTTTTAATAACGTGATATCGTCAATTTGACACTAGTTCACGAATCGAGTATCTCGTCCTCGCTCAAATTTTAAGATTGTCGTATTCGAGTTGGTTTTTCGCGGACTACATAGGCGGTACGGTTTGCTATAACAAACCCTAACTACAAAAGAGAGAGAGAGAGAAAAAACAACACACCTTAGCTTCCTGCTAACAGCTTGGACCGAGTCCAACCCCCCCAAAACTCACAAATACTCTCTGCAGCCCAGTTGTGGAGTTCGCCATCTCCCAGTTCTTTGTCCATGAACAGTATCTCGGACCAATCTTCTTCTTTTCTTCCTCCTTCCTTGGACGCCTCCGGATCATCATCATCAGCTCCTCCGCCGAAAATGTAGTTGTAGTCCAGTATCTCCGTTGATATGGACCAATCTTCTTCTACTTTTCGCCCTCCTCCTTCTTTTTCCTTGGACGCCTCCTCGAAACAGCTCTTATCTGGATCATCATCATCAGCTCCTCCGCTGAAAAAGTAGTTGTAGCCCAGTATCTCCGTTAATATGGACCAATCTTCTTCTTCTACTACTTTTCTCCCTCCTCCTTCTTTTTCCTTGAACGCCTCCTCGAAACAGCTCTGATCTGGATCATCATATCGGCCGCTGAAGAAGTAGTCGTACATGAACGGTGTCTCCGTCTCCGTGAATCTGCTCCATTCTTCTTCTTCTTCTTCTTCTTCTTCTTCTTCTTCTTGTTGCTTGGAGACCGTGATCCTGACGCGAAGGAGATCGTCGTACTGCCTGCGGGACTCCTCGTCCTTGAGAACCTCGTACGAGGATTGCAGCTTCTGGAACTTTCGATTCGCTTCCTCGTCGTCGGGGTTCTTGTCCGGGTGGAGCTCGATCGCCTTGCGCTTGTAGGCGCGGCGGATCTCCTTCTCCGACAGCGTGAACGCTGCCTCCCCTGAAGGCAGCCCCAGCACCGTGTAGTGCTCCTCTTCCTCGCCGCCGCCGGCTTCCATGATGGCCTGCTCGCCGGAAACTAACTGACTAACTGCTCGCCGGAAACGAACTGATCGACCGATGGGGAGATTTGAGAAACTCGATCGACTCTTGGAAATAATGATTCGCCTCGTTCGTTCCCTTCCTCCCCTGCTTTTTATAGACGTAAAGAGATGTTTAAGGCGAGTTTCCTTTTTTCCTTTTCCATATCCGATTAGGAAAAAGGGAAAATTATGAATTATCAGCATTTTATGTAAATTTGAAATAAAAGAAAATATATTTTGTTCGATTTTTAGACGGGAAAATTTTGGACTAGTGCGAGTTCCAATTTTTCTTTTCTAAAAAAACTATTGAAATGTATTTTCAACTTTCTAGTTTTTTCGAGGGATACCATTACAGATTTTAAAGGGTATCATTATAGATTTTAGTGGATTATTTTTTAAAAGTCATTTAATCGTCGAATGATACAAATTTTTTCGGAGGACATTTTCATAATATTTTGGGCGATTTTTCAAATGCTCGTTTTTCTTGAATTTTGAAAGCTACACTAGTGATTAAGTTTACTAAGCATCGATTTGGACGACATTTTTGCCAATCGAGTGATTTTTCCGAAATGTCATTTTCTTTCGATTTTGAAGGCTACAGATCATGGATTCGACACGAGGATATTCTTTACCGATGATGAAGTATGTTGATCCTATTCTTCATCGATGATTAAGTCCATTAAGCACGTATTTGGGAAGATTTACTTTCGGATGACATTTTCTTAAATTTTAGGCGATTTTTTTCAAAATGTAATTTTCCTTGAATTTTGAAAGCTACAGATCACGAATTCGGCTTGGGGCTATTCTTCCCTGATAATTAAGTTCGTTAAGCAGCAATTTGGGCGGATTTCTTCCGGGTCCATTTTTGCAAGATACCAAAGGGGTCCATTTTCAGGCAATTTTTCAAAAAATGTCATTTTCTTTCGATTTTGAAAGCTACAGATCATGGATTCGGTCGGAGGCTATTCTCCATCGATGATGAAAGTCTCTTGATCATATTCTCCATCGAGGATTAAGTCCATTAAGTACCAATTTGGGAGAATTTATTTCAAATGGCATTTTCGTTGGGCTATGAAAGTGTATTTTCCTTGGATTTTGAAGGCTACAGATCACGGATTTGGCTTGAGCCTATTCTTCACTGATGATTAAGTCCATTCAGCAAAGATTTTGCCAGATTTCTTCCGGGTCCATTTTTGGCAAATTTCAAAGGGGTACCATCAATCCATCACAGATTTCGGGCGATTTTTCTGAAATGTCATTTTCTTTCGATTTTGAAGGCCATAGATCAAGGACTCTGCCTGAGGCTATTCTCCACTAATGTTGAAGTCTTTTGATCTCATTTTCGACCGACGAAGTACCGATGAGCACCAATTTGGGTGGATTTATTTTCGGATAACATTTTCATAATTTTTTTGGGCCATTTTCCTTGGATTTTGAAGACTACAAATCAAATATTCGGCTTGAGCCTATCCTTCACTGATGATTAAGTCCATTAAGCACCGATTTAGGAGGATTTCTTCTGGGTCCACTTTTGACAGATTCCAAAGGGGTACCATCACCGATTTAGGGCGATTTTTTCGAAATGTCATTTTTTCATTTAAAAGGCTACAGATCAAGGATTCTCCTCAAGACTATTCTCCGCCAATGACAAAGTCTATTGATCCTATTCTCCACCGATGATTAAGACCATTAAGCACCAATTTGGACGAATTTATTTCGAATGACATTTTCATAATTTTTGGGCCATTTTTCTCGACAGGCCATTTTCCATGGATTTAGCAGTCTATAGATCACAGATTCGACTTGAGGCTATTCTTCATCAATGATTCAGTCAAGTAAGCAAAAATTTGGGAGGATTTCTTCCGAGTCCATTTTTGGAAGATTTCAAATGGGTGCCATCAGAGATTTCATGAGATTTTTCCGGAATACAATTTTCTTTCAATTTTTAAGGCTACAGATCACGGATCCAGTCCGAGGCTATTCTCCACTAGTAATGAAGTCTATTGATCATATTCTCTACCGATAATTAAGTTCAGTAAGCACCGAATTTTGCCATTAAATTTTGGGATGACACTTTCGTAACTTTTTGGACCACTTTTTTTTCGAAATGTCATTTTCCTGGGATTTTGAAGGCTACAAGTCACGGAATCGGCCTGAGGCTATTCTTCAACGATGATTAAGTCCATTAAGAACTGAGTTTGGGCGGATTTCTTCTCGGTCCATTTTCGGCTGATTCCAAAGGGGTACAATCACAAATTTCGGGAGATTTTCCGAAATTGCATTTTTTTCGATTTAGGAGGCTACATAACACAGATTCAACCCGAGGCTATTCTCCACTAATAATGAAGTCTATTGATCCTATTCTTACCGATGATGAAGTCCATTAAGCAACAAATTTGGCCAATTAATTTTGGGATGCCATTTTCTCGATATTTTAAGAGATATTTTTTTGTAAGGTCATTTTCCTAGGATTTTGAAGGCTACAGATCACGGATTCGGCCTGAGGCTATTCTTCAACAATGATAAATTCAATTAAGCACCTATTTGGGCGGATTTCTTCCAGATTCATTTTGACCAGATTCCAAAGGGGTACCGTCATAGATTTCGAGCGATTTTTCGAAATGCCATTTTCTTTCCATTTTGGAGGCTACAGAACACGAATTCAGCCCGAGGCTATTTTCCACGGATGATAAGTCTATTGAACACCGATTTGGGCCAATTTATTTTCGGATGGCATTTTCGTAATTTTGTGGGCGTCGAAATGGCATTTTCTTTGGATTTTGAAGGCTACAGATCACGGATTCGGCCTGAGACTATTCTTCAATGATGACTAAGTCCATTAAGCACCGATTTGGCCGGATTTAATCTGGGTCAATTTTAGGCAGATTGCAAAGGGGTACCATCACAGATTTTGGGCGATTTTTCCGAAATGTCATTTTCTTTCGATTCTGGAGGCTACATATCACGAAATCAGGCCGAGGCTATTCTCCACCGATAATGAATTCTATTGATCCTATTCTCCACGGATGATAAGTCCATTAAACACCGATTTGGGCCAATTTATTTTCGGATGGCATTTTCGTAATTTTGTGCGCGTCGAAATGCCATTTTCTTTGGATTTTGAAGGCTACAGATCACGGATTCGGCTTGAGACTATTCTTCAACGATGGCTAAGTCCATTAATCACCGATTTTGGCGGATTTATTCTGGGTCAATTTTTGGCAGATTGCAAAGGGTACCATCACAGATTTTGGGCGATTTTTCAGAAATGCCATTTTCTTTCGATTCTGGAGGCTACATATCACGAAATCAAGCCGAGGCTATTCTACACCGATAATGAAGTCTATTGATCCTATTCTCCACGGATGATAAGTCCATTAAACACCGATTTGGGCCAATTTATTTTCGTATGACATTTTCGTAATTTTGTGTGCGTCGAAATGCCATTTTCTTTGGATTGTGAAGGCTACAGATCATGGGTTCGCCCTGAGACTATTCTTCAACGATGACTAACTCCATTAAGCACCGTTTTGTGTGGATTTATTCCGGGTCAATTTTTGGCAGATTGCAAATGTGTACCATCACAGATTTTGGGCTATTTTTCCGAAATGCCATTTTCTTTCAATTATGGAGGCTACAGATCACGAAATCAGGCCGAGGCTATTCTCAACCGATAATGAAGTCTATTGATCATATTCTCCAGGGATGATAAGTCCATTAAACACCGATTTGGGGCTGATTTATTCCGGTTCAATTTTTGGCAGATTGCAAAGGAGTACCATCACAGATTTTGGGCGATTTTTCCGAAATGCCATTTTCTTTCGATTCTGGAGGCTACATATCACGAAATCAGGCCATGGCTATTCTCCACCGATAATGAAGTCTATTGAACTATTCTCCAAGTATGATAAGTCCATTAAACACCGATTAGGGCCAATTTATTTTCGGATGACATTTTCGTAATTTTGTGGGCGTCGAAATGCCATTTTCTTTTGATTTTGAAGGCTACAGATCAAGAATTCGGCCTGAGACTATTCTTCAACGATGATTAAGTCCATTAAGCACCGATTTGGGCGGATTTATTCAGGGTCAATTTTTGGCAGATTGCAAAGGGGTACCATCACAGATTTTGGGCGATTTTTCACAAATGCCATTTTCATTCGATTCTGGAGGCTACAGATCACAAAATCAGGCCGAGCCTATTCTCCACCGATAATGAAGTCTATTGATCCTATTCTCCACGGATGATAAGTCCATTAAACACCGATTTGGGCGGATTTATTCTAGCCAATTTTTGGCAGATTGCAAAGGGTACCATCACAGATTTTGGGCGATTTTTCCGGAATGCCGTTTTCTTTCGATTCTGGAGGCTACTGATCACAAAATCATGTCGAGGCTATTCTCCACCGATAATGAAGTCTATTGATCCTATTCTCCACGGATGATAAGTCCATTAAACACCGATTTGGGACAATTTATTTTCGGATGGCATTTTCGTAATTTTGTGGGCGTCGAAATGCCATTTTCTTTGGATTTTGAAGGCTACAGATCAAGGATTCGGCCTGAGACTATTCTTCAACGATGATTAAGTCCATTAAGCACCGATTTGGGCGGATTTATTCAGGGTCAATTTTTGGCAGATTGCAAAGGGGTACCATCACAGATTTTGGGCGATTTTTCACAAATGCCATTTTCATTCGATTCTGGAGGCTACAGATCACAAAATCAGGCCGAGCCTATTCTCCACCGATAATGAAGTCTATTAATCCTATTCTCCACGGATGATAAGTCCATTAAACACCGATTTGGGCGGATTTATTCTGGGCAATTTTTGGCAGATTGCAAAGGGTACCATCACAGATATTGGGCGATTTTTCCGGAATGCCGTTTTCTTTCGATTCTGGAGACTACAGATCACAAAATCATGCCGAGGCTATTCTCCACCGATAATGAAGTTTAATGATCCTATTCTCAAC